GGCCCAGAGGTGCAAGGGGCTGGGCACCACTGCACAACACACATTAAACTCCACGCTACAGGAGGAGATCTAACTAAGACCCCTGGACCTGGGGCGCAGTCTGCCCTCAGAGCCCTTGCGCGTTCAGGAATGAAGATGTCACCCCAACCCTTTCCAACGGCACCCGCAGGAAGGGCGGTCGCCGTGGTTGCCGTTTGTGAATAGGACTCACAAATTATTGTTTTCTGTTAATAAATTGCCTTTGTGTACACCAGGAAAAAAAAATAAAATGAAAAAAAATAACAAGAGCGTTCTGTTCTGTTAGAACAAGGCATTCATCCCAAACACCAAACGGCGTGAGAGTTATGGGGTCCAGGGGCTCAGCCACGACAAGGAAATCAATTCTGGGTTGCTCTGTCATGGACGCTGGGTCTCTTGGTCCCTGTGTATGCACGGACACTGGGTCTCTTGGTCCCCATATGTGCATGGACTCTGGGTCTCTTGGTCCCTGTGTGTGTTGCACGGACACTAGCTCTCTTGGTCCCCGTGTGTGTACATGGACGCTGAGTCTCTTGTTCTCTGTGTGTGTGCACGGACTTTGAGTCTCTTGAACCCTGTGTGTGTGCACGGACACTGGGTCTCTCGGTCCCTGTGTGTGTACGTGGACGCTGAGTCTCTCGGTCCCTGTGTGTGTGCATGGACACTGGGTCTCTTGGTCCCCGTGTGTGTACGCGGACGCTGGATGTCTTGGTCCCCATGTGTGTGCACAGATGCTGGGTCTCTTGGTCCCCGTGTGTGTGCACGGGCGCTGGGTCTCTTGGTCCCACTGTGTGCACCGACGCTGGAGTCTGTGGTCCCCCTGTATGTGCACAGATGCTGAGTCTCTTGGTTGGCCTGTGTGCTGCCTGCGTCTCCCTTTTTCCCTGACCTTGTGATTAACACGGGCTCCTCTGCCTCCACTTTCAAGAGAAACCAATAGGAGCGATTTGTTTTTGCTTGCTGGATCCGTTAATTTAAAGAAATATATCCTGTTTACATTGCTGGCAGCATTCTTTCAGCTGGACGCTGGCCAGAGGGACAGACCAGCCCTCAGCCTAGTGGGTTTGAAGGAGTATTCCAAGTGCTCGTGGTGGTGTCTAATTGGGTGGATGTTCAAAACCTTCAGGTTCCCTTACTGTTTTGTTGTGTAGAGAAAGCTAATCACACCCCACTAGCATTGAGCAGTAGTGTTTATCATGGAAAGGGTTTTCGTAAGGAATGGCTAATCTCAAAAGATTTTATTTGATTAGGAGCTAAACTAACAAAATCTATTTTGAAATGAGATAACAGGATTTGCAATCTTTAGTCTCTGTCCAGTACAGCCAGACCTCTCCCTGCCCTCCCCCACCTCCCAAATCATAACAAACAGAATCTGCTCTTTAGGGAGGAGTTTAAACTTCAGTGGTTTTAGAAATTGTCTTTAAAATATACTCTCTGAATAATTTGAAGTGTTAAATTGTATCAAGATGAAATAAGCAAACACTGTGCCTTTGATCTGTTATAGTTGGGTGGTGCCTGGATTAAATGGACCGTTATAGAAACAAAATACAATACTTCAGTAGCATTATTGCCAAAAGAAAGACTTTCCTTATAATCCCTAGAGATTGAAGTCTACTTCTGCCCTCAGCTTTTTTCTTTTGAATATAAATGGACTTTAGGGTTTTCTTGACTTTCAGTTTGTAAATTGGCCTTTTGTTGGATAAAGATGTGATATCTAGTATTCTAATAAGCCTTTTATATCAGTAAGGAGCCTTAGCAATTCAGTGTGTAACTTTAGATCAGGCTGCTAATCCAAAGATCAGCAGTTCCAGTCCACCAGCTGATTTGAAGGAGGCAGAGATGACAGTGTCTCCCTTAAAAACACCCAGGAGACCTGACGGAGTGTCACTGTGAGTAAAATGGACCCAAAGGCAATAGGTTTGGAGGTTTTGGTTACTGTGCTTGCATTTAGGGAACTCCGGTGGTCTGATGGGTAGAAATTTGCATTGCCAACCCAAAGGCACGCAGTTTGAATACACTAGCTACTTCAAGGGAAAAAGAGGGCCGTCTCCTCCCAGGTGATTTACAGCCTCTGAAAACCTCCTGCAGGGTCGGCTATGAGTCATTCGGAGTTAAGTTGCTTTGATTAGTATTTTACTTTTAAAACCCAAAAACCTATTGCCTTCTAATTCATCAACCCCATGGGACAAGGCAGAACTTCCCATAGGATCCCCAAAGCTGTGTTTCTTTTTTTCTTTTTGCAAAAACACACATGCCATTTTATTTCAACCTTTATCCAAAAATGTAAAAAGGGATAAAAAATGTTTTAATCCTGAGCCTCAACTCTTGACCTCTAATCCTCATGAGAAGGTTGGGGGAGAGAGTCAGGACAGAAGTTCAGTGTTCTTCCTACCCCTAGAGAACAGGAAAAGTCCCAGATACAGTTAATTGGGTCTAGAACAGGACCCTAGGGAGAATGTGCCCCCTTTTCTCCTACCACCACTTTTAGCACTCCCCCTGCTCTACCCTTGTCCCCAAAACTTTTCTTCAACGGAGAAGAAACATTTCAAGTTCTTGAGTCTGCTTGAGGAACATGGTACATGGCACAGGCCACAGGCTGCTCGCTGGCCAATAAGGACTCGTACCTGGCCCAGTGCTTCTTGGCAGGCAGGACAGGGCACAACTCAGCTTCTTCCTCCTCCCTCCTCGTCCCTCCTCTTCCTCCCCCTTCTCCCCCCCCCTTTCCACCTCCTCAGAAACGTCATTGCTTATAGTAACAGTCTGGTGCCGCCCAGTAATCCTCACAGGCCCAGAGCCTGACTTCAGGCGGAAGGTTGCTGGAAGCTGGAGCTGAAGTCATCTGGGCTGAGCGTGGGTCAGTCGGCAGGGTGGCCACAGGGACTCGCCTCCTGATCGTCAGGGTCCTCGGCCACAACTTCCACCACAGTGTACTCGTCCTTGGCCCCATCGGTAATTACGGCAGAGCATGGGCAAGGCCAGCACGTGTTCAGCATCGTCCTCTTCCTCTACTTTGAAGGTGAAGGAGCAGGTACCTCCAGAGAACTCACACCTGAAGAGCCAGGACACGCAGACCCTGATGCCCCCACCCGGGATCGGGATCAGCTCTGCTTGCTTAGGAACGCTAGAGCGGCGGTGCCAGCGGCCATGCTGCGAGGGGCGTCTCCAAAGCTGTGTTTCTTTAGGGAAGCACACTGCCTCATTTTTCTCCCAAAGAGTGGCTGCCAGGTTTGAACTGCGAGCCTCTCATTTACCAGCTGAGCTCTCTAAGCGCTGAACCACCAGAGTGTCTTCCATTATGATGACAACGTGTCACTCTCCTTTCTGTCAACATGCAGTCAAAGCCATTAACTCCAGAGAGCTTCTGTCTGTTTAGAAAAGAAAAGGCAGCTTCTTTTTCAACTGATGTCACAGAGCAGGAAGCCCCCAGAACTCAGCTGAGGAAATGCGGAAGTCAGAAATGGTGTGATAGCCAGGGGGCTGGCTCTTCTCACGAGGGTCGAGTTCTCTGTAAAAGGGAAAGAGAAAAACTGTTCTTCTTCTCCCCCCCCCCCACTACAATTGAAGTTGAGAAAAGAAATAACAAATGGACTCTGGTCAACAAATTCATGGCTGGAATGCAAGCCTTCTTAGAGAGAACTCAGAAGTCTCCCCATCACCGCTGGGCAAGTTAGTGAGGGTCAGTATTCAGGGGCGGTGGCAACACGCTGCTGACAAAATCCGGGAGATGGAAAACAAATTGGCAATTGCCGGGGATTAGGGACAGTGGTGGAAGGGAGAATGTGATTTGAGAGCTGGCGATGGCCCTCACAGGGGCCCCACGAGAACAGAGGAAAACCCGCCCTCCCTGCACTGTTCTACTGGTCCCGCATCCACCCTGTACCATCCTAGTGGTCACCGCTGCACCGGCCTCCTGGTCACCACACCCTCCCTGCACTGTTCTTCTGGTCATCCTGTATCCATCCACCCTGTATCGTCCTAGTAGTCACCCCTTCACCGGCCTCCTGGTCACCTTGCCCGCCCTGTACCATCCGAGTGGTCACCCCACCCATCCTGCACCAGCCTCCTGGTCACCCCACCCGCCCTCACTGGCCTCCCGGTCACCCAGGCTGCTCTGTGCTGTCCTCCCGGTCACTGCCTCAGGTGCTGAGGGTCTGCTTCCTGACCTTGTTATCTACCAAGGACAACACCCTTCTCCAGGACTGATCCCCGAGGGCAGCCTCTGGTGATGGAGTAGCTTATCTCCATTGTGGTGGGGGTGGTGCATGAACACACAGACATGGCAGAGTGGCACAGAGCGATACACACCCCTCAGGCTCCTGTGTTGTCTCCCGGGGGCTGTGCTGTCCCAAAGGCCACGCCTCCCTGCGGTTCTGTCCCAGTCCCAGTCGGCTTTGTTGATACTTCTGTGGTCTATGAAGTGGGAGAAGCGTAATGGGCAAGTGTGAACAGCAGTGAGAATGACCAAAGGGGACAGAGAGACCCTGAGCAGGAGCCGGCCCAGGCCTCCTTTCCATCATCTTCTCCCTCAGTGTGGCGCCGTGGGCCCGGACTGGACTGCTGATAGAGCAGAGCTGGACAGCCACCAGCCACTCTGCAGGAAAACGCAGGGGTCTGCTTCTGGAAGGATTCATGGCATCAGAATCCCCGTACGATAAATGGAGAACCATCTGTCTACAAACTCCTGCTCAAAGCACAGGAAAGGGGTTTAAAAAAGAAAGAAGCCCATAGAGCAGTTCAGACCTGCCCTTTAAACGCTCTGGCAACTCGTTGGCAAGGTGATTTTTGTTTTAGTAATATTTTATAGGCATCTGTGTATCCGCCCTGTTGAGGTGGTTTTCCTAGACGTTAAGACATTCCCATTCTGGCCGTGGGTTCCGTGGCGTCTGGGATTTGCTTGTAGGAGGACACTCAGAGCACACTGGGGTTCTCAGTGGGAGGCGTCTCGGAGCCTGATTCCACCTCCTTTTCCTTTCCTTTCCTAGGGCTCGAAGGTGCTTGTCGATGCTCGGGACAAGCTGGGCATTCCCTGGCAGTACTCTGAGAACGAGAAGCATGGCATGTTCCTGATGGCCTTTGAGAACAAAGCGGGGCTGCCCCTGGAGCCAGCCACCTTCCAACTGTACGTGCCTGCCCTCACCGCCCTCTGGAAGGACTCTGGCATCAGGGAGGCGTTCAGCCGGAGGAGTGAATTCCAGCTGGTGAGTAGGCCCGCTCTGGCCGCATGGCCTGATCCACCTTCCGGTCCCATCCACACCTTCCGTGGGACTTGAGTGGGAAGGCATTCCCAGAGTCAGAGCCAAGGCAAAGGTGCCTCATAGCCAGAGCGACGTGTTCACGTGGCCCTGCGCATGCAGAATTTCACAGAATTCCTGGTGGCTTTTCTCCTGTGTTAGACCCACCTTTAAGAACACGTTGAATAGGACCACAGTCGGGGACGTGTTGGCTAGTTGTCATAGTAGTCCATAAAGGTGGCGTCCTCTGTCTGCTTTGTGAATGTAACAACTTTTAAAAAGGGGGGGAAATAATTGTTTCAAGGAGGGGGAACAAAACCCCAAACCTGAAAAATCCCCGTCATGTGCACACGTCAGTAACGACACATGCACACAGCTCACATAGTTCCATAGGCTGGCTGAAAGTATAATGCACCTGTTATTTGCATGTGAATACAGTACATACCCTGTAAGCAGTGACTTGGCCTTGAGGTGTGTCAGCTCAGATTTAGTTTTCTGGAAATCTACCTCTATGATGTCCTGAGGACACGTGGAGGCGGAGACAGAGGCCTAGGTGGCAGGTGCCTTCAAAATCTAGTTCATTCCTGCTCACCAGAAGGTGGAAACCCCCCGAGGAGAACCCCCCGAGGTACCCATCAGCAGATAGACAGGTGAGCAAAACGTGCTAGTCCTGGCCCATGTTGCCCCGTGGGTGAGCTCTGATGATGTGGGTGGAAGGAGCCAGGCAGGAGGGAAGAGGATGTGTGATCCCACATTTACAGACTGGCCAGGTGCTCGGAGACTGCGTGGATTAGTGCTAACCAGAGGCTGGAAGGAGCCCTGGTGGTGCAGTAGGTTAAGCGTTGGCCTGTGAGCCTGAAGGTCAGCAGTGTGGACCCACCACCCACTGAGAAGGAAAACATGGGCTTGGAAAGCCAGCGGGGGGGTGCCCTGGGTGAGTCAATCCGACGGCTTCACCATGGCTCAAGCAGGGGGAGGTACAGGACTGTCCGTCCCCACAGAGGCGCAGAGCTCTTCCCAGGATGCCCAAGACGGTGACTGTACTGATATCGCTGAGTCGTGCCCACGACAGTGACAGGCGTGGCCGTGTTTTGTTGGCAGTCCGAGCTGGGTCAGTCCTGACCACCACAAGAAAGCAAGTGTTACAGTGAGCAAGTCACAGGAGTGTGTTGGCTTCCCGTGCATGCAGAAGTTATGCACATGGCCACGGTTCGAATCCACCAGGGAACAAGGTGGGCTGTCTCCTCCAGTGCAGTTGAGGGTCAGCTCTGTGCAGCAGAGGAGCCGTGGGAGTGAGGGTGGCAGGAGGGGCTCCGCGCAGCCTCGCGGCCTGACTCTCCTCTGCTGTAACCCAGCCGGTCTCGCAGCAGCGCCTTGCCTGCTCTCCCAGGTGCTTCACTGTCCTCATACTTTCTCCAAACAGCATGTGAGCCAACAGAATGGCACCTGCACGGAGAACTGCCAGAGAAAACAGAACCGGCTTTCGCTTTACTGGATGAGTCCTTGGGCTTCTGGAGAATTGCTTCAACTTAGTAATTGACCCAGTAATTGCTGATACAGAACAGTGGGGTCAGACAGAACTGTAACGAGAACAGCTCAGACCCGGGCGGGGTTTCATCCTGTCAGGCCCAGCACCGCTCTGCGTGGAGCCAGCATGACAGCACCTCACTGTTGTCAGGAGCTGTGCGGGGCCTTGGTTATGGTGTTTGGTTGCTGATCAGACCTGTCTGCGCTCCTTGGAAGATAGCACAGTGCTTCCTCCAGGACTGACAGCCCTGGGAGCCTCTAGGGCAGTCTGCTGGGAACTGGACTCGACTGGGGATAGTGGGCCTTAACACTTGCTGCTGATGAAGCTGTGCTTGTTGGGCATCTGGATGAGGATCCCGGGAATTGCTTCCATCAGAGAAGTCCTCACGTGGCCTGTTCTTGTCCAATGGAGAGTGACCCTGTTCAGTTTTCAGGTGCTGAGTGGCACAGGTGGGCATAGGATACCCAAGGGCCATGCCCTGTCTTTTGTGCCCCTTCTAGAGGCTGTGCCCTCGCTTCTTGGAGGCTCAGATCATTTGCTGAGCTGAGAGTCTTTTTTTTCTCAAAGGGGCATGCCGCCATGGCTCCTTGAAAATGCCTCCACCCTCTCAGCCTTTGGCAGGTGGAGCCGGTCAGAGAATTGAGTTCATGTTGAGACTGTGGGTGTTTCGGCTTCTGGAAGGTCAGGCTCTGCAGAGTGTACATTGTCTCATTTCTAAAGGGATCAAATCCTCCTAATATTTTTGTTGTTGGTCAGAGCATTCAAGTCCGTCCCTACCAGGGTGGCCCTGTCCTGCCCCTCCCACACGGCCCATTCTCATGGCCACTGCAGCAGTCCACCTCAGAGCGGCCCTCCTGAAGCCCAGACCCACTTGGCTGGAGTCGTCCTGCCCCACAGCAACTCTGCAGGATCTGCAGGACAGACCTGCACTCCCCCAGAGGGTTTCCAAGGCTGTAAACTCGCACAGAAGCAGACCGTATTTCTCCTGAGGGGCAGCTGGTGAGTGCCAGTTAGTTGCCGACCTTTTCATCAGTAGCCACATCCATTACCCACTGCACCACTGGAGCGCCTCAGACCCTGCTGTTAGAGACAGCAGGCTTCCGTCGTGGCTTTCGGGAAGACGAGGTGTTCCTTTGGGATCAGAATACTGTGGCCTTAGGGCCAGGCGGGTGTGAAGTCTGTGGCTTTGTGGTCACACGCGAGCTTCTGAGGAAGCCCGGGAATCACCACTCGGCTTGGACATAGCAGGTCAAGTCCACGTCTGTGGTTGATGCCATGGTTTCTGCTCTATTGCAGTGCCCAGGCCGATTGCATCATCCTGGGGACAAGATCTGTGCTGCCGCCATCACCCCTTCTCCATCTGCCTCCTCCACCTCCCCCACTGAGTCTCCCCCATTGCCTGCCAGCCTCGTGTTCTTTTTTCGTGGTGGTTGTATGGAGCTATAGTGACAGTACTTTAACATGTCACACTACTAACTATGAGGTCAGCAGTTCGAATCCACCACCCATTCCAAGGGAGAAAGATGGGATTTCCACCTTGGAAACCCAAGGGAGGGTGGCTGTGGGTCGGAACCACCTGGGCGGCAGTGGGCTTGGTTCTGACTCGGTGTTGAGAAGGTGCTCAGCACTTCCCAGGCTCTGGGCGTACATTTGTCCACGGTGAGCACCGTCTTTGAAATGTGCCACCCTCTGACTCAGAGAGCCCCAGAAGGGCACTCAGCTGAACCAGGAGCCCCACGGTTCACACCCATCTCCGCTGCACAGGAGGAAGATTTACAGCCGTGGAGACCTGATGAACTTTCACTCTGTCCTTGGGCTGCTGCCGGTTAGAATCCCTCCACAGGAGCGGGCTGGCTTTCTCCTTTTTAGTGTAAACACTTTAAGGTTTGCCACTGGGGGAAGGATGGGCACTTCCACCCCCTAGCCAGTCTGCAGAAGACGGGCTGTCCGTTTAGAGTTTTGGGCCAGGGAAACCCTGGGGGGCCAGTTCTGTGTCTGATGAGTCAGGATCTGCTGTCCTCACTACTTCTGGGAAGAGGGCTGTAGGGATTTTTACTGGGACTCTTGAGTGTACAGATTGCTTTGGGTAGCTGTGCCATCTGAGCAGTGTTGTCTCCCCGCCCGCCTGTGACCCGCCTGCTTCCTTGAGCCGGCTTCCTCCCGGAACAGCTGTTGTCCTGCACTCTAGAAGGAAGGCGTGTGGGGACTGGACACCCTCAGGGCTGACTGCCTTCCTTACAAGGGCCCTTTCTGAAACCGTGCTCCGGCCCAGTGATGGAGAGGACCTACCGGTCACTTGCCCACGGAACTAGCTGGCTCCCCCGCAGGCCTGACCTTCCTTTGGATGCTTGCCCACAGTTCACTGGTTCTGTTTTCACTGAGTTTAAAAATACACTTCCCGGACCCTCTTAGTAAGCCTGTGAAACAGCAGAGAGCTGGGTCAGGCAGCACGTGAGGTGGTGTGGGGCAACAAAACTTTCTGCAGGATCGCATGACGTTAAGTGCACTGGACTTAACATCCTCCGTGCCCATGCCACATGCTCCCGGGAGGGAAATCTGGTCTCAGAGTACCATTTCATTGTGGCTGGCTGGTGTGGAAAGAGGAGTACAGCAGTGCCCGACAGTGCAGTGCTGTGCCCCCAATTCTTCACGGATGCCATGTCACAAGTCCACAGCAGTGGGTCCTCTGCCCATCTACGGTGGATGGAAGCCTCCAGTACTTGTCATCGTGGTGTGATTCTTGACTTTCCCTTGGTTTAATTGTTTCTGTTGGTTGTTAGGACCCCTGTAGCTGTTCCCACCACAGGACCGCTGTCCACTCCCAAGCATCTGTAAGGTTCTGTCAAGGGTGGGTCAGGCCCTCCGGGGCCAGGTGCTCCGTGCCTGCAGGGCTAAGGTCCACGTGGTGTCATGTGTAGATGCAGCGTGCTCTGGAAGACTGATCTGAGACCCTGAGGAGGTCTTTCAGCGCACGCAAAATAATAATAAAATAAAGATACCCTGTGGACTTGATTCTTGGAAATCCCGTTACCCACTACTGCTCAGCTGGTAGGAGGCGTGCCGTGGTGGACATGGACGGAAGGTGCTGTGCTGGGTCAGTACGTGAGGAGAAAAGGGCAGGTAGTGGATGGCGCCGTTTTGTAACAAGGGAAGGCAGAAGACAGGGAGCAGCGTTCATCAGTGGCCTCTAGGGCAGACGGAGCAGGGCAGTGGGGGACGCACGCAGATGCAGGGCTGCCAGCTCATGATCCTAATTGCTGTCAGCAAGTTGTGCACCGGTAGAAAGGTGAATTGGCCCAGGTGGTCTGGCAGATTTACTTCTTGGCGGGAGGGGGCACAAGGAGTGATTGCTGAGGCTGCTCGTGGGGTCTGGGTCCTGGGTTTGGAGGTTCAGGCTCATGGCTTCATGTCACATCCGAGTTAACTGGTTTAATTGTGA